TGTTGCAAAGGGAAAGTCAGTGCGGTGTCATGATTAGCATGCAGCATTTGAGTTCTAGTCCCTACTTGGCCATGAAGCTCTTGCTGGGTAAATTTGGGCTAGCCCCTGATCTTGGCGTAGCCCATCTCACAGGACTGAAGTGAGGCTAAAATAGAGAGGAGGACCTCCTTGTAAGCCACTGCGGCTTCATGGTGAGAGGGAAAGGGCAGGATATAAATCTGATAATAAATAAAGATAATAAAGTTGAATGTATCCTAGGGATATGATTATGCCACAGATCAGAGAGCAGAGCTTTTAACTTGGAAGGCTATTGCATCAGAACAATAATTCTTTCTGAAATCGCTTCAGAAAAATGCAGTAACAATGCCCCTGTTTGCTCCCAGTGGAGATGTTTCTCTCTGACAGGTCTGAAAGGTTATGTTGAATTGCTTCATCGCTTCACCTGGTTTTCTCAAGTGTTCAGAGGACCTCTCTCCATTTCCACTCCCATTTCCATTTACAATAGCTTTCTCCCCTGTGGCGAGCACACCAGAGAGATTCTTGGAGAAACACAATAGGAAAAGGCTCCACTGTTGTTAATTGCTCTAGTATTGAATCAGGATCCTAAGGGCAGCTTTGGTTTCTTCTCCACTGGTTCTTTTGTAGCAGTGACTAAAGATGGTTCTTCATGTGTTAAAATGGGCTTCAAGAAACATTCATGCAGTGGGTTTTCTTTGTGTGGAAGGCAGCAGCCCTGGAAGCAACTGGAACCAGAAGTGGGACCAACCACCCAACACAGCAGGGGCTAGCTCTTCACAGCTTAACAGTTGCTCACAAACCCTCAAAATTTTGGGGAAGGGCCTGTACCATACTCACAACCAAGGAAATGCAGCTTAAGATACAGCATAGCAACTAGACAGCCATGTTCAATGACACAGAACATTTTGGTCATACCTACAGACTGAAGAGAAAGAACAGTAAAAATATCCCTAGTGCTTACTATTTCCAGATCTGAAACCACTCTTTGCTTTAAGGCACAAAAATAAAAGAATCATAGAATAGTAGAGTTGGAAGGGACCAAGACAAACATTGGTCCAACCCCCTCCAGTTGCAGGTCACCAGTTTACATTCTCCCACTCAAATGGCTGTCGCATTTCTTTTTGAATGTCTCTAGTATGGGAGAGCCCACTCTCTCTACACAGCTAGTTCCACTGTTGTATTGCCTTGACAGTGAGGAAATTTTCCTGATATCTAGCCTGAATCTGGGTTGCTGCAACTTGACTTGATTATTCCTTGTCCTGCACTCCGGCATCAGCAAAAAGAGATCTGGACCTTCCTCCTCTTTGGCCATCAACTTCCCTGGTTCTCTGTCTTAGAAAAGTGTTGTTAAGGAGTCCCCTCCCTGAAGCGACCCTGATATGAGAGTGGTAGAAAAGAGAATGGCTGGGCAAAATCCAACAACGATTGCATGGAAAGTCTTCTCTCCCTCTCCTCCCTCTTCAGTGCCTCACATTCGCCCCCCAAATCTATTCCAGAAGGTCCCTCAACACCACAAAGCAAACTTGGGGTGTGTATGGAAGAGTTGCAGAGATGAAATCCCTCCTGCCATGGGTGGTCATTCAGTGAGAGAAGCCATTGCATCTAATCTCACGGGACTCATTCTTTTCAGAACAGGAATCCTGTTCTGCCTTCTTCCAGTGATTGCATTATGTTTTCCTGTGACCAAAGTTCCAAGGGTGCTATTGTTGCAGCAAGAAAGTATATTGTCCCAACAATATGAAATATATATTGATCAGAATTTTAATATCATTATCTATTTATTTAAAATTATTTTAACCTGCCTTTAAAGTGGAATGATGGAAGATTATTGGGATTATTGGCATTCCAATTGCTGCAACTGTCTTATTGGAAACAAATAGTAAGATAACGTACTTCATGAATAATTTTTAAAAGTTAATGGTAATAGTTAACTGTAAAAGTTAGCAGATGTCCTTTATTTGCAAAAAGATGGCAAGATAATTAGCTCTGCATAAAGCAACAGTACATCAGGGCCAACTGAGCCACTTCTGTTCTTGACAATAATGTTATTTGTCACATAGCTAATACTGCATAGTAAAGACCTATAATAGCTGTGTCCTGAGTACATCTCTTTAGACTGATATTAAATAATTCCACATTTATTTGTTCTTAGATGCTTCAGCTGATTTGCTTGAGCCCCATCCCACCTGTTCTTAGATGTTAAGATTGAAGCTACCTTAATTGGAATGAAAACATATTTTGTACCATTTGAAATATAAATAAAAGAAGTAATAAATAATGAGGAGCAGGCAGCAAAGAAGGTCAACAATTCCCAGGACTCGTCCAAGTCATGGTTTCATATTTGGTCAGAATGATCCTGAGGAGAGGGGTGCTCTATCGAGGTACTAAGAACTGCAAGCATCTAGAACAAAGGGAGGCAAATGGACACCTAATTAGCTATGGCCAGTTTGCCAGGCATTCCACACATAGGTGCATCCCGCCCCCTGCCCTACACACACACACACACACACACACACACACACACACACACACAGGGACTAGGTCTGCAAGTTTCATGCTTTTGCCTTCTCTTCTGGTGATTCACCACCAGACCCATCCAAGTCTTGGGAGAAGGCAGCAGAAGCCTTGTTGAGCTACAAGCCTTCCAGCATCCTCTAAGCTGTTTGCCTCAGTGATGAGCAACAGTTGCATTGCACAGCTGCTTAAGGAAGCTGTTCTTATCTGCCTGCATTGCACAGAAACCTGCTTGCACATTAATGTACACTAAAAGGCCAGATTAAGGTTGCAGCTAATCAAGAAAATAGCATCTCTAGCAGCCCAGGAGCCTGGCTAAGATTGGTAGAAAGGAAAGGAACTGCTTGTTTCTCATGAAATCACTTTGGCAGGGGTGAGTGTCTTATTAATGAGTTCCAAACTCACAGTGGACATCTATGCCTGTAATTCAGTGTCTTCCTACAGCAGGACTTACACAGCACTGCTCATGGCAACCGCATTGTTACTAAGATGCCACCAGGTGGAGTCAATGCTCCTGCAGTTAGATGATGGTTAGCTGAGGCTGGGCTTGCATAACTCAGCCTTCCCCAACATAGTGTCCTTCAAATGTGCTGCACTGCACATTCCCTACATTCCCAGCCAAGTGGAGTCCAGGTCCAACACATCCAAAGGGCCCCATGTGGAGGAAGACTTAACTCAAGGCTCTTCCACATTAAATATTTGGCTTTGTTAGCTGATGGCAATGGGCAAACTGAAAACTGACAGATGCCATGGTATGCGGCCAGCTTGGCCAGCAATTGGCACCCTTGCACTGCCATATTCTGCTCCGGTTTCTAGCCATGGACATCTACAGAATTAGCAGCTGCAATATACTACTGAAGATTGACCTGAGGAAGTCTGTACAGAGGTTCTGAGCATTGCATAATGAAGGATGCTTTTTGGTTATAAGCTTCCCCACTGACAGATTGTGCTTTCTTGGTTCACCAGATCATGGACCCTTTTCTGCAAAATTGCAAGTTAAACATTATTGTAATGAAATTCATTTTAAAAGGGTGCAATCCTTTGCATGTTTAGGTAGAAAGGAATCCCCTCCCTGGCTGGCTGGGGCATGCTGGGAACTGGAGGCATTTTTTCTGTCTAAACATGCATAGGATTGAGCCTTAAAATAAGAAACAGAGTTGCTTTTCACTGTATTCAGAAGTCTGGTCTGTATCTAACCATACTGCACATGGCTAAAGAGTTTGATCAGAATTACCTTACACTTTATCAAGTGAATAATCTCAAGCCACCAAGAAACACACTTAAGGTCTCCTCACACGGTTTCTCAGTCTTCAGGAAGAAATATCCTTAAGATATACTTTAGCAGGTGAAAAGAGAAGTAACTGGGTGAAGTCTGCCTGTGTATCATTATTATTGGTTGGCTATTTGGGGGAAAGGCCAATCAGAGTGCAAGTCCTCCAATGGCACTGCTGTAGTGCTGGGTTAAGTCACGAAAGGGCCATCAACCTGGACTTTTGAAGAGCTGGGCTGACAGCTACCCCCAGGTATGCAGGCTACACCTGAATTGCACAGGTCACATCTAAGGCAGTCCCCAGATTACAAATGAGTTCCATTCTTGACAAAACAGAAATTTGTCTTTAAGTCGAATTTGTATGTAAGTCAGATCATGAATATTAGCCCTCCACATTTCTGGGGGTTATGGGTGCAGGGCCCCCATGAAAGTGGAAAAACCACAAATACCTCAACCCCCCAAATGACCAGTGCTGCCTCTTTGAAGCAAGGAAATACTGGAGAAATGTACTTCCCCAGATGGGTGGGGCAAGAAGGCACACTCTGGAGCCCCCCCCCCCCTTTGCTTCCTCCCTCTCTATGGTGATGGTGATTTTCTATAGTAATTTTTTAAAAAAGTAATAGGCTTTATGGCTGTTCTTAAGTATGAGATGTTCATAACTTGGATGTTCATAACTCAGGGACTGCCTGTATTCTGCATTTTTGCATGTTTCCCATGATAAGAGGCTCTAGGGGGAGAAGCACCTGAATTTAGACACTAAGCAAAACTGAACAAGTGCTTGTTGCCACCTAGGAAAAAGAGCTGTGGGGAAACTAATGAGGGGCGTGCTTTTTCCCCTCAGGGCTTCCAATCCACCACTTTACTGAGGCTTCTGTTTCCAGATTCTTTGTGGAAACAAGATTGGATCTTCTGCACACATTGTTTCCCAGGTTTTTCCTTCCCGGTCTTTCGGTATGTTCCATTTCCTACCTCTAGGTGGTGCTCTGGTACAGCAGAATTGCACAAGCAGAATTGCACACAGACTTGATCAACCCTGTTCCTGCTAAAATAGTTGCGAAGGTAAAGAAGGCCAACATCATGTAAAGCACCTGCAAACTGCCATGAGTAGTGCGCATGAGTAGAAAAGCACTGCATGGACTCTAAAGCAGTTATTTCCAACCTGGCGTCTTGCAGATGTGTGTTGGACTACAATCCCCATCCACCCCAGCTGGCTTGAAGACAGCTGCTCCAAGCTCAGGTTTGGGGCTCACTTTGACACTGCAGGATCTCAGTGAAGTGATTTGAAATGGAAGTGGAGTCGGCTGTTGTGACGAGAGGGGATGGCAAAGTGCCCCCCACATTCTGGGCAGAGCTGCTTATTTCCCCCTGGGAACAGCAGCTCAACCACAAGCCTCCACAAGGGACTGCCTCCCATTCGCCATCCATCCTTCCTTGGAAAGAACACAGTGCAGACCGTCAGCCTCCTTCAGCCTCTAGGCACAACCTCCTGGCTCCTGCAGAGTGGGATGATGGCAAGCCAAGTCTGGAACCTCCCTCCTGCTGGGAAAGGCAAGCGTTCACTTCCTGTCGCCTGAAGGAGATGGACCTTGGTGCGATGTCATGATTTGATAGATGGTCTCCCGGAAGTGCTGGTCTTGGCTCAACCTCTTGGCTGCTTGCTTCAACCCTTCTAAGTTCTCAGCTTCCGAGGACATGAAGGATTGCGACTGCCGTACTGAAAACAAGAAGAGCACACAGCACTAACTCCAGAGTGATGCCAAACCCCAGGGCCAGGAAGAGAAGCAAACTGTGGAACTGAACATGGAAGCCCTTCTACCATGGAAGCCTCCATCACGGGGAAAAAGAGGTTAAGCTCTGCAAAGGTGATGTTGAACAGAGACCATATGCAGTGCCAAAGTCTCTGAAGGCCAACCCACCTAACCATGTGGGGCACTCAGGTCCCACCAGAACCTGATCCTCACCTGTGTTGCACACCTGCCATCTCTAAATATACCAATAGACTCAGCAAAGTCACCTTCAGTGTAGACACTGGCTCTGCTTTTAAACACAGTGTGGAGAGCCAGTGTGGTGTAGTGGTTAAGAGCGTGGGACTGGGACTCAGGCGATCTGGGTTCTAGTCCCCACTCAGCCATGGAGCCAACTGGGTGACTTTGGGCCAGTCACAGACTCTCAGCCCAACCTACCTCACAGGGTTGTTGTTGTGGGGATAAGATGGAGGAGGAGATGTAAGCTGCCTTGAGCCCTTTGTAGGAAAAAGGCAGGATATAAATCAAAAAAATAAATAAAACACAGTAGATTTGTGGCTATCATTAAAGGGCAAAAAAATGCTTATGAGTCTATTTTTACTATGCTGGGGGAGTAGTTTTGTCTCAGGCACCAAAATATCTTGGTCTTTTTCTTTTGGATGTTCAATATCTGGTCATCAATCTTTATCAATGGGGGGGAGGGTAAGTGTGGACTAGGTGTAATAAAATGATGGACTATCACCTGTTCCCTTTCATATTTTAAATAAAAATGATTTTATGGCTCTGATTGTGCATCAAACAAGTACAACAGGTTGAGTGGCCGGAGGCATCCTCTTTTGCAAAGTGATGGTACAGATTTTTGTGTGTGCATGTGCATTTGTTTACAAGTGCTGAGCACGGCTGTCAAGGAGGGGAAATTTGAGGGGCATGCGGTCAAAGGGTTGCATAACTTGGAGACAACTTGACAAGAGTGTACGTGTGCACGCACCAGCCTGAGTTCTGTGACTAGTACTAATATTAGGGCAAGTACTAATATTTTATGTGCAGCCTCTTGGGGTTCTCTCCTCAGAGTTTTTTTCTTTGCGGTCCCTAATTGTTGGCTGCACAGCAGAACCCTCCGTGGACCCAGTGGGGCCATCATGTCACTGACAGGAGGTTGGTGCTCCCATCATGCCTTTCTACGTCAAAGTGCTCCAAAGGTACATTGGTAAAAGTCTGTCGTTCTTCCTCTCTTGCTCCAGCTGGACTAGTGGAATCCTTTTGGAAGTTCACAGTGCATCAACCGGGCAGCCAACAAGCACAACCTGGCGTGAGCTTTGTGTGTCCGCCATATAATCTTGTTTTGCATAGACCAAATCTGTGTTGCATCACAAATAACATTCCAGCCCATGATGAAAGCAGATCATTATCATCACCATCACCATGTCAAGATGCAGTCATGTGAATTGACTATGAGCCTGTTTCAGAAAAGAACCAAGGAAATCATGCTGGAGAGCAACTATAGTTTTCTTTTGCTAGATGGAAATAGGAGACACCTTCCTGACATGATCTGAAAGAAAGACAGTACATCCTGATGTTCACTGCTTTGCTACTGAGAGGGTTAAAACAAGCCATGTGCTTTTCCTGTGTAGCTACAAAGCTCTTTCTGTTAAGCCTTCCAATTAATACGCACTAAAGGGAATCTGTGCAGGTGTTGCTGTGCATGGGTGGGCAAGGGGGACCAGAGGGCTGCTCTTGGCTACTGCACCCAAGTGCTGATAGACGGGGACATGGCAAATCCTGTATTTTGCATCCTCGCAACCCCTCACCCCTCACCCCTACAGCATCACGTAGAAATGCTCTGTAAGGTAATGCAAGAAAGTGGCACCTACAGTCATTCCAGGAATTGCTGGATCTCCTGCCGTGAAATCGGCAACTTTTTATCCGGCGCGTAGCAGCCTTGTGGAGGTAGACAGAATTTTTCATTATTACTGGCATCTTGGCTTCTAATTCAGCATTCCGGATGCACTCCTCAAAGAACTCTGCAGGAAGACGACATCCAAGGAAAACATGGTATTGACCTTAAAACAGCTTTCCCCAACCAACCAATGGCCATGCTGGCTGGGGGATGATGGGAGTTATATTCCAACAGATTTGGAGGCGACCTAGCTGGGTGAGGCTGACTTAGATGGATTCAATTCATCCTAATGTAATACTGTGGAGATGTCCAAAATTAGTTTACATGTTACAAAGTAAATTCAGAACCTTTTCAAGGTTTGCTTTTGAGAGATGCTTTTGACAAAGCTGCATCTTTCCTCATTTAGATACATGTGGGGCAGTAACATGCAATATCAAGTTACTACGTTCTGCAGTTTTATCACTGTGCTTTTCTGAAATCTCTAACGATATCCATGAGAAATTGCTGGGAGGGTGGCGCTGTCATCTTCCAGAAAGGTTCCTTCAGGGACTCTGTTCCCTTGACGAACAGCTGCTTATAGATGAAGGGAGCGAGTCTTCTGGAGCTCGTGCAGAGTGTCTGCAGCTGGTGGGTGCATGTGTGAGTGGAAGACTCTGGTTTCTCCAGTCTACAGCGTGGAATGAGTCATAGGTTCCCCTCTCCCATAGCCAGGATGTGGCTGCCTCGCCATACACAGCAAAATAGTGAGTGGGGAGAGAGTGTATTGTACTATTTCATAGCACTCCCCTAACACTAACATAATCCTTACCCTTAGTCCCATCTCAAAAGTCATCTTTGGAGTCCTTCTCTAGACACCCCATTGAATGATGTGAAATGAGAGTGCCTCTTCAGTGGTGGGACCCAAATAGTGGGATATTCACTCTCAAAGAAATTAGCTGGCACTGATGGAGTTGTTTTCTGGTTTTAGAAGAAAATCTTTTTCTTCTCCCAGGCTTTTTAGTCCCAAGAAATGCACAGTGCATTTTACATCATTGTACTGGCTTTTAACTTGCTTTTTACGGTGCTTTTACTTTGCTTTTAATATATGGTTTTAATATTATGTTTTACCATGTTATTGTATTTCAAGGTATTACGTTTTGTTTTGTGAACTGCCCGAAAGCTTTGGCTAGCAGGATGTGTAGAAATGTAAGAAAAGAATGAGAAGGAGAGAGTGAATTAGGAGAACATAAATGTGAATTCCCATAAGCTACCCCAAAACAAGGAGATCTGCCTTGTTGCCCGCTAATTGCTCTCACAGGTTTCTAGGACAGACATTCCCTAGGGCAGTGAAAGAGGCACTTAAATTTTATTTCTCATTTTGTATATGTTTTATTCCTTTACAAGTTTATTTTGCCATCTCAGGTAATCGATGGAGAGTAGGAAGAAAATCCAGAGCTTAACAGAATTCCTGGCTTAGCAGGGCTCACGCCTAGAAATGGTTTGAAATGCCTTATGCGTGTACCTTGGACACATGCAGCACCATGTTTAAAAGATGCAACAACATGGGATAAAGCCTCTCAGCTTGCACAGAGTGCCTCCCACAGAGTGCCTTTTGGTTTTAAATGCCTACACATCCAAGGGAATTGCTACTCAGGGAATTGCTGGACAGGACTCTCTGCATGTCTTTGGACATTGGTATCAATGAGAACTCTCCTCCAATATGGCAGACTAGGTCAGGCTGGGGGTTGTAAGAGATTTTTCCATCTAAAAAAAGGTCTAATCCTTAATGACACCTAGTTAGGCCATCATTTCTGACATCCACACATGCTGGCATCAAAACCACCTGTTTACTGGAGTTTATTTAGTACATTTGTAATTGCCCAGCAGCTGACACTCTGATGGCAATGCACAACAATTAAAAACATTAAACAAAATGTGATAAAATACAACACAGAAATACTAAACTTCATTACAAAAATGAAAAACAAATCAAAATTTTGATCTGTATTTCAATTGCTTGAGGTAAATAGCCAGAGCAGTGTGCTCAGTACCCCCGAGGGTCCTGCAGACTCATCCGATGGGTGTTCCAAGGTCTTGACTGGCCAGGTCACCTTTCCCCAACCTTACACCTTCCAGATGTCTTGGACTACAACTCCCATAATCTCATACCAGCACGGCTATTTCACAATCCAGCACCTTTCTGGATGTGTTGAACTACAATTTCCAGCACCTGCACCCGTGTTGGGGAAGGCTGGGCTAGGCTTTCAGTTCGGTTGTTAATCTTTATTTCAAGACAGCAGCAGCATAGCTGGAGTTGGCCCACCAGCATCAGGGAAAGGTCAGATTGCTTACTTCTCAGATTGCTGACATCAGCTTTCATTTTTTCCTCTTTCTCTTTGTTTCTATGCTTGCAATTCAGGCCTTGCTCCAGGCTCTGCAGGGCTTCTTCGGCTTCTTGCAAACGCTTCTCCAGGTCCATGCGCACCTTTACTTCTGCCTGAACAGGAAGGAAGGAAACAAGGAAGCCTGAAATTGCTGTCTTTTAATTGAGGATTCCTTCATTTTTGCTTTCAAGCTACCTTACAGGGCAACTAGTGGAGAGATGGAATTTTTAAACGGATATTGCTAAACACTGCTCACTTGTTATCTGTAATGTTGGCACAATTGGAATGGCACATAATTACACTACATTTATAATATATTATGTAGTCAATATTCTGCCTGCAATTCTTGAAACCCAGGGCCAATGTTAGCGGCTCCCTCCCACACCAAAGACCTCTCTGCCTGAGCCTCTGAACACAGTGCTTTTCTGAGGCTTCTCCACTTTCTTTACAGAAGAATTAGAAGAACCTTCCCATGAGGGGTTTGTTTCCTGGGGTTTTCCTCTCTGCCTTTCTGTATGTTCTGTTACACAACTCTAGATGGTGATGTGGAACTACAAAAATGCACAGGCCTCTGTGGCAAATAATGATGCCACCTAGGAAAACACCAGGCTTTCCTCACTCAGTAAACGACCCCCTGCAAAGATGGCTGGAAAACTTGGGGGAGGGCTTGGAGGATGACCGCATCATGGAAAGAACCTGCAGACATAGTGAGAGAGAGATCGGGGCACACGATAAATGCCCTGTGCAGAACAGGCCTGAGTCTATGTTCTCACTGTTTTGCATCATGACATAGTTCCAGTTGCTTGCTTGGCAACCAAGGAGCAAGTAGGCAGGAACACCGGCTGTTCTTGCTTCCCACCCTCAGCATTACCTCAACTAGAAAAAGGCAGGTGACAAGCACGCTGCAGAGAACCCTTGTTGGTGGACCCTTGCCGGGGTGGAGATACTCTGCAGGTGCCAAACCCTTGAACCTGGAAGTGTGCAGGAATGCAGTTTTGGGAAGTGAGGAAAGATGACCATCCTTCATAATGTTTGTAGGCTGACCGAAGGTATCCAGCTCTCCTGATGCACCTTTTCCTGTTCACATCACTTCTATCATGAAGCACTTTCTTTGTGTTAGTAGGAATGATTATATAATTATTCAATAATAAAAAATAGAATATATATTTTAGCTGGGGAGGGACAGAAGAGAGAGGGAGGGCGAGATTGCCTAACAAGAAAACAGTGCTTTTTTTGTAAAAAAATAAAAATGTGTCGGAACTCACTCCCTGCAGTAAGCACACACCAATCCCAAGCAGCTATCTCTCACTATCAGATAGCAGCTGGCAGACAGAATAGCAGCCTGCAGGCACTATGTTAATGATGTTTGCTGCTGATCTGCTACCCTGTTCAAAATCATTGAAAAATCACTAAAATCCATTGAAAAAAAGGTGCCGGAACGCTGTTTTGTCATGCGTTCTATTACAAAAAAAGCCCTGGAAGCAAAGGAAAAAACTAAGTTGATATCAGAAACCAAGCAAGTTCACATCAGCACGTTCTCAGCACCTTGAGGTCTCTCTCGGCCTGCTGCTTCTCAGCTGCCAGCTCAGACAGGGAGTTCTGTAAGGCTTGTGACTGGGAAGAATAGAATTCCCGCTCCTTCTCTAGAGCTTGGGAGCGTTCTTCATTCTCTTTCATTCTGAAAAGAACCACAGGAAAACAGTTGGGCCCTTGTCCCAGAGCTCCCTACAGTGTCATCTCCCTCGCACCTGGAGGGTTGTCAGGCGGCAAACTGAAGACTGACTCTGTAGCCATAGCCGTCAGATTGCCTCCTCTCGCCCATTCCTCCCGTATCTTCCCCCACCGATGGCAAAGATGCAGAATCCTCACTGCAAGTGACGGAAGGGCTGAGGAAGGAAGAAGGGAACGGGCAGAAGGAGCTACGATGGCAGCATCTCCAGTTTCTGTGTGATATGTAAAGGTGAAGTGTCCACCTGCCCAGGTGGGCTACAAGTCCTTCTCTTCCCCTCTAACCTTTTCTCTGCCAGGAGCTTCTCTTCCAGCAGCTGGTGCATCTTCTCCTCGATCTGGTGCAAGCTGCTGTGCAGGCCCCCAGTGGCATCATCAGGCTGCTCGCTGGGGCTGGTCAGAGTCTGCAACTGACTCGCTTTCTCCTCTAGCATTTCCAGAGTTCGCTGTTTTTCCAGGGAAAGGTCCTTGGAGCCCACACAGACATGCCGATTAGCAGGTGCATTTCTCCCCTTCCTCCCCTCCCATGTCCCATCCTTGGACTGGTTACCCTTCAAAACATTTCAGGCAAACTTTTTATCCACTCCGTGGTGACATCTAAAGTTGTCACATGTTTTCTTTGGAGGACTCCTGTGCCTTTTACTGCCATGGAGGGTGAGAAATGCTCGCAGACAGAAAACCCTGCAGGCACTTCTCACCCTCCATGGCAGTAAAAAGTACCAAAATAATAAATGGAAACACTAACCATTGGTTGCCTTTTCAAGAAATCCCAGATCACCCTCCTGAGGCAGACAATGCCCTTTAACCTAATGGTAGGGCTGGTTCCAAATAAAGTGAGATGGTGCAGAAACTGGGAGGATTCACTACCCCTTTCCCTCCAACATTCAATTTAGTGGGAAAGCTGTGTCTGCATGTGGGGGTATATTAACAATCCCCACTGATTCCTCACCCCCAACTAATTTTAGTCGAACAATAATCCTTCTTGCAGCTTTCCAAACAGCAGTTAAGTGGCCCCTCAGAAAAAGTAATGGCCTCTTTTTACTGTTAAAATAACACACATACTGTGGTAGACACATGAATTATGATAATGTCTCATCTTGTTTGACCACGATATAAATTAGGGTTGCCAAAGTTCTCTTTCTTCTATTAGCACCTCTAGAGCTAGAACAACTGTGTAAAGGACATAAATTCAGCAGGCAAACCTTTTCCCAATGTGGAGTCAGTGATGGGAAAAGCTTTGATGGTCTTAAGCCATTAAGGGCAACAGAGCACTGCTAGAAAAAAAGTCAGCCATGTTCAGAATACCCTGATTTGCAGTCCCAAATATAATAAATCCCATTGTACTGCCAAGGGTAGGACTCTTTTAAACCATCTTCATGGCACCCACTGCCATATACAATGAAGCTGGGTGTTAAGAAGAAAAATCAGGTGCCAGTCAGACTTCTGCAGACTTAGCCCCATTATAGTATAAGTGTTCATTCGTCACACTAACAGCAAGCTCATCTTCCACGCGTCAATCCATATATAGCCAAAACAGCTCCGTCCACACACAAGAGAGGAGCATCACTTAGCTCAGGTCTGCAGTGGTACTCGTATTTTAAAAAAGAGAAGAAAAAGCAAACAAGACCCTGTGGGGGCGGGCGGGGGGAGAACTTCCAAAGGCAGCCTAAGCAGGACCGAGAATGCTGAGCCACCACTGGAGCGCTGGCTGGCAGTGGCTGGGAAGGATGGAAAACTGGGATGGGGGGACAGAATGGCCTGCCGAGGAAGAAGTCATGGTAGGCCGGCATGTGGAACACTCCAAATTTTGCTGCCGGCCTCACTTGTTTTTCAGTCATTCCCAAGTAAATGTCATTATGAGATCTGAAAGGCTGTCATCACACACTTACTTCCAGTGTCTTCTGCAACGTTTCTGTCAAATTTCGGAGGCCTTTCTTTTCCGCCTCCACTCCTTTGAGGGACTGAGCAGTCATTTCCAGCTCCCTGTGGAACAACCATGTAAATGCCACCAATGAAAGACTATTGAGTCCAACCCCTTACATGTGTAATTGTATTAGGCATTAAAGTGGCTGCCTTTTTCCTGGCAGGTCGCCAGGCTTGTAACATGCACATGACATTTAGAAACCCAACCAGTGGCACCTCTGCCTTTCCATGTTAACCAAAGCTTCAGCTGCTAAATCCTATGCGAGTTCAGACAAATAAAAGGTCTGCAGCTCCTGGCACAGCCCAGCCAGCATGGGAGCTGTAGATTCCTAAAGATCTGGAGCACCGCCAATGTGCCAAGCATGGAAATTACATTAGTGCACTTTGCTTCATGATAAAAATTGGGATGCAGAACCTCAGGCCAAACCTTGTCTTCTGGTGCTCCCCAGGTGGCCAGGCCCCCTTCCCTAGTCCCAACCCTTCCCCTAGTTCTAACAGGCTGAAATGCCTTTCCTAAACGTTAGTTGCTGGTAGTAAGAGCTTTAGGTGCAATCCTATGGCCTCCTGACATGGTGTGTGGGGCACCACAGGATTATTTCGAGCCCTCCTTCCAGGCTTCTGGAATCTCAGAGGTGGGACTCCCACAGCTAAACCCCTGCCCTGTCCCTACATAGAAACATAGAAACAGAGTGAGTCAGAAGGGGTCTCCCGGGCCATCTAGTCTGACCTCCGGCACCAGCCGGCTCCGCTCACAACATGCCCACCATGTGGACGTCCAGCCTATCCTTGAACACCCACACCGATGGGGCCTCAACGACCTCTCGTGGAAGCCCATTCCACACCTTCGGGGTCCTGACTGTCAGGAAGTGCTTCCTGGCATCCAAATGGAACCTTGGCTCCCTGAGCTTTGCTCCCTTGGAGTGTGTCCTGCCTTCCTCTGCAGGGGAGAACAGGTCTCTACCCATCTCCATGTGACATCCCCTCGCATACCTGTATGTCACCAACATATCCCCTCTGAGTCTCCTCTTCTCCAGGCTGAAGAGACCCAGTTCCCTCAGTCTCGCCTCATACGGCATCCCCTGCAAACAGGCCACCAACCTTGTGGCCCTGTGCTGCACTGACTCTAACCTGGCTCTATCCTTCCTGTAATGAGGGGCCCAGAACTGAGCACAATACTCCAGTTGCAGGTGCTCCAGAGTCATACAGAGTGGTAGTAATACCTCTCTCGATCTAGAAGCCACGCTTCTGGCTAAGCAACCAAGGGACAGAACGGCACCACCTACCTCTCCATGGATGCAAGCAGGCCTTGGAGAAGATGAAAAAGGGTCTGCTCGTGGTCAACGAGGGAGCAAGGCTGGGACTAATGACTTGCACCAATTCCTATCAGTGCCCCAGCCTCTTTCCCCACCTGACCACTGGTGTGAAATGTAGACCATCATATGTAACTGGACTGAAATGCCCATCATCTCCTGTTGCAGTTTAACACATCTGCAGAGGAAGGCTGCTCAAAAGCTGCAACATTGGAGGTCCATGGCTTTCAGGTCCTGTAGGTGGACTTCCTAGCTGCATCTGGCAGCAGAGACAACTATGCTAGACAGCTATGTACAGTCTAGCATAGTTGTCCTTACCTGTTTTAAGCATCTGTATGTTGCCTTACTCCCTCATGGATCACTGCCTTGTCATGGCGAAGGGGCTTGCGTAGCTCAATGAAGCTATGAGCTATGCTGTGCAGGGTCACCCAAGATGGACAGGTCATAGCAGAGAGCTCTGACAAAACATGATCCACTGGAGAAGGAAATGGCAACCCACTCCAGTATCTTTGCCATGAAAACCCCATGGACAGTACCAAAAGGCAAAAAGATATGACACCGGAAGATGAGTCCCTCAGGTTGGAAGGTGTCCAATATGCTACTAGTACTAGCCCTCTGCTCTTCCCCAGTAGCATATTGGAC